GTGAGGAGCTGCTGCTGGGTGCGGGGTGGCACTCCGTGTAATTGCGATCGTTTTTCTCGTCTGAAAATTCGAGCTTTAATCTGCTGTAAAACGAAAGTAACATACAGCTGTGTGAGGAGAACTCCTCTGTACTTTCATGGCTGTGCTATATACAGCCAGAAGGCAAAGTGTTTTCGTTAAAGCCACTCATGCAAACACAGGTGATATAAATCTGTATTCTCTGAAGCATGTACTCTCTTCTGGGGGGTTACAGCTTTTACCTCATGACATTTAGCTAACTACAGTGATATCTTGAACTTGCATTATTTATCCTGAGCAGACACTACTTGCTTTTATATTTAGATGATGTGGTGAAGACTATAGGGGTTGAGTGAATTGAGAACTTAACTGGTTTACACTTGAAATCAAGACACTGTAAGAAAAATAACTGCAGTCTGGTTTGGCAGTTGAACAAAAAGCTGAGGAGGTGGGATCAGGCTGTCCCTAGGCTCTCACCCGAAAGAGTTTAACTGGTAGGTTTGTGGTTTGGATAACTGACAAAAAAATGTGTCTCTTTCCACAGGACTACAAGGGTCAAAAATTAGCTGAACAGATTTTTCAAGGAATCATTCTTGTCTCTGCAGTAAGTATACTAGAGTTATGGGCGATAACATCCCAGATTTTGTTTTCTGATCTTACAAACAAGTTTTTTTCTGATTGTTTGGCTTAAGTGGGTCACTAAAAGCTTATGACAAAATCAGAGGGGTTCTCATGGATTCAGACTTTTCTTCTTTCAATCTGTTCCTCTCATTATTGGTCTACAACTTTGAAAACACGGTTAGAAAGATGTATGAACGGTGTTGAAAACATGTATTTTTCTACTTAACTTCCCACACACACACGAATCATGGCATGGGAAATTGTTCATTTTAAGTGTGATTTCTTTTTAAATTTTTTTTGCAGATAATTGGTTTCATCTATGGCTACATCACTGAGCAGTTCGGATGGACCGTCTACATAGTTATGGCTGGATTTGCTTTATCGTGTTTGGTAAGATTTTTTTTGCTCCCAAATCAGAAAATACATTCACCTGAATTAATCATTAAATAAGGGGCTGTCAACACAGACAAATGTTTCCTGTGTAATTCTGACTGTTGATACATATTTGTACTTTGATTTCTAGAAAGTGCTTTACAAGCTAGCAAGTGCCTTTTCTCAAAGGCTAGTAAGATTTTAGAGAACACTGCAATTTAATACTGCTTTTGAATTAGTTTTTGGTTCAATTAAATGTTACTTCTAAGTCAAGCAGATAGCACTGATAACAGAAAGGACAGTGAGTCTTTCGGTGGAGTAGCAGCTTGTCACAAAAAATGTGCAACTGGCCCATACCACCCAAAGAGAGAAGTGAGGACACAAAGAATAAATTACAAGAGTAATTCCTTATTCCTGCTCGTGAGGTGTCCTATTCCAGTTGGAGCACATTGAATGTGGGTTTGCATGTGGTTCTTACACCTTTTGAGTGTTCAGATGCAACATGATTTGACCAGTCACTACTTAACACACACATACTACCGTTTTGAAAAGCCACAATTGTTCTGTGGCATCACCATCCATCTGCTTTCTTGCGCTAAACGTCCTCAGAGTTGGTCTTACCACGGTTACTTAGCCCTAAGGCCAGATACTGGAGGGTTTCACTGGGGCATTGGAGGGGCTGGGTTGCTGGTGTTACCTCAGTAATCCAGGGGTATCCTTTTTGCTTCAGGCTGGGTGCAGTCCTCCTCCTCCTTGCAGTGAGCTGAGGTCCTTTAGTCACTCATGATTATGCAGGATACAATGTAAAATATATTTTTATGATATGAAATCGTGTGAACTTTCTGAAGACTAATTGGTACACTTCTCTAGCATCTTGATTTACATGTTCTGCCTTCATTCCATTTCTCTAAGCTAACGCTCCCTCCGTGGCCTATGTACCGCCGCAATCCTCTGAAGTGGCTCCCTGTCCAAGAGTCAGGAACAGAAGAAAAGAAGCCAGCAGACAGAAAGCCAAAGAGACATGCTAAAAGCTAAAAAACCCCATAGTTCTTTATGCTGTTACTTTGTTAAATTTTGTTAAATGAATTTCCACTAAATGATACTTCTTGGCTTGGTGTTTGGGGTTTTTTTTCTTAGTACTTTGTATACTACTATGAGTACACCAAGGTCTGCAGAGAAAATGAAAACTAAATCTTGGCTGGAGTGTCAGTGAAGTCACTGGGAAGGCGACGTGGGGGGGATGGATTAACCTCAGAAGGCTACTGGAGGTCACATCTCACTCAGGAATTTTAGTAAAAAGGACCACAGCAAATCAAATCAAATGTACTTAAGCTGTTGCCACAGCCTAAAAAATAATCTACATCTGGACTTCTACTACAGTATTTCTAACCATGTGTAAAACAAGCCATCCATATTGTCAGGTGTGTAACAAGTCCTGTAAAACAATACATAGCCCAGGGTTGTGGACATGGCTAAGAGCTGGAAACCTTGTAGGAGGGGAGATTACAGAGTGACAGTTTTTGCTTAAAGTAAATTTGCCTGGGTAGAGAAAGTAACACCTCGACTCTGCAGAATACAGTAGCTCTTGAAGCCTTGTAACCTGAGCCTCTAGTATGCCAGAGGCAGCAGGATCCAAAGGTATTGCACGTCTTTACTACTGACTGTCATGTTGGTCTCCCTCATAGGTGCTGAAGGTTACAATATTTAAACTAGAGGCAGGGAAAGAGACAGGTTGTGCATTTAAAATTTTATTTTACAAATTCAATTCCCTTTGACTTCTTTATACTCAAAAAAAAAAAAGTGCTTTTCCTGCAGTGATGGTACATGACACTGCCTGTGTAGCAACACAGTCTAGGTGCAAGGAAAGGCAAAAGCTACAATGCCCATTTCTCTAGGTGACCCTGGTCTGGGGTACTTGCATTCCTAAAAGGAATTAGTGTTTGTAAGGCAAAGGGATTTCTCCAGCTGGGACCATGGTAACCATGGCTGTGCTCCTTTCATTTTCACACTTATTTTATCCAGTTACCAAATACTTTCCATCACCTCAGTGACTGCCTTAGTAATAAAACACAAAAGGAAAGGCTCTGCTTAGAAGCAGCACAGCCCCCCTTTAGCACTTAAACGTGGCAATTTACAGATGAAGGGCTTTTGGTGCTATAAAAATTAGTAATTGTTTCTCCCTGGTATTTGATGTAATATAGCTTATAGCCTATCACACCATAGCAATGGCATAAACTTCATTACTGTATTATTACGTGACCATACCAAAAAACCTTTTGCACATTCAAACCAAAACTGGTTTTGACACTCCTTTCTGTACAGAACTCCATCTGTCCCTCTTTGCATCTATAAAAAGCAACTTCTTAAAAATTTTCATCAAGAGAATAAAAACTAAACTAAGCAGTTTCTCTTCTGAGAAAGTGATAGCCTGGTTCACATTTTAACATGAAAATTATTACTACAAAATATAAAGTTTTTGCAAGTTCACCTCCTCATTCCAGCAAAGGAGGCCAATGGATAAATGTGCTCTGTAAGCTGGTCCAGTCTATCAAATGGGCTATAAACCAGTCAGTCCTCTTCTCTGAGGCAAAGGGTCTGGTCAGAACTTCACATTTTCTTCAAGAAACTTCAGATGTCGTGCCTTGGCACTGTAACTCACATACTTGTCTCCCATATGCTCCCGCAGCTGCAGCTATTTAGAACACACACACAAAAAAAAGCCACAAAATTTATTGACATCGAAAAAAACAGGAACTAGTAAAATATTAACAAAAACCAAAAATACCAAAGCACTCAACTGAAAGTGGCATGTGAAGTTTGAAACATATACAGGAAGGAAGAAAAATGGCTGTGCCTGTTGTCCGAAGATAAGAGTTCCAAATCCAACCCAACAATTTAAAACATGAATCACGTCTTCACAAGTTACAGTTAACCATGCAGCATTTAATTTTTAACTAAGTTTTGAATCAAATGAGCTGGAGGCATTGCTCACTCAGGTAGGTGAGTGTCACCAGTAGCGACATTAAACTCTCACTTTGGACATAAGGAACATGAGGCAAGTAATGGGTAGGCAAAAATAAATACTTTTTGGAATCAACGTTTGCACCACTATATCAATATCTAAAAGGGAGATGGGGGGGGGAGAAGACTCTGCTCATTTATCCAGGTTTATAAAGAAATCAAACAATTTTATTAAGAAAGACATTCACCTCTCTCTTCACTTCATCTTCTTCTTCCATGATGCTGTACACCTTCTCAAGAAGTTTCACTCCCAGTCCTTGTACCACATCAGATCTCAGGATTTCAACCATTCTCCTAATCTTGTTAGGAACTGACAACATATCTATTAAAAAAAATACAGTAAAATGAATAATTTTTTAAAATCAATGCAGTAATAAGTACTTTCGGTACAGTCAGTTTCCATACTCTCTGCAGAAGAAGAATATGGGATGACTGAATGCATTACCACAGAATTCCAGCTCACCATTTCCATGAAATAATTGTTTATCTGAATGGGCTGGCAAGGATGAACACAAATGTCAGAATAAGAAGCACTCAGCTGCTAACTCTTGAAACACTGGGCAGTACAAAGCCAAAGCAGACAAAGTTTGCACAGTTAGGACCCTGTAACTTCATTTCAGGTGTTTCCTGTATACTCTATTACAAATATTATTTGAATGGAAAGTACTATTCTCTAATACTGCACCATCACCCAAATATTTCAATAATTCAATCACCTGTACTTACAGCAAACGTAAAAAAAGATTAATCACTGTAAAACACTAATGGCATCATTTCTGCCATCTGTCTGTTTGTCTCAACAGCCTTTGAAGCTTTTGCTCCTCAGCTGAAGCTGCCAACAAGAGACAATCACTTTATAAGGGGAGGCCTCTGTTAGAAAATGAGAACACCTTTTAATCACTGACATCACCAACACTCCTTTTACAGGACAGATCACCTTCCCAAAATATCTGATCTAATTAAAGTTTCAGCTTAGAAATGCAGCTCTGTCATCCCAAATGGTAGTAAGGGAACAGCTGGAGGATCGTACTACACGATACTTAAGGAGAAAAATAGAGAGGAAAAAAAAAACCCAAACACTGAAATGTGTACTTTCACCATTCTGTCACACCTGTTTAGAGAGTAACTCTTTCAATGCATTTTACTTTGGCTATGCAGAATCAACATACCACAGTAAAATCCAGTGCTCTCCCATTGCTTTGCCTATTACCAGACAAGTCACAACTAGAATCCTCATCATTTAAAACAATAAACACAAGAAGGTCTAAGACTTCAAAACCCCACCCTCAGGTTTTTCACCTCCTCTTGTTGCACAGTAAGTGCAGTCACAGCAAATACAGGGGTTTTTTTGTGCTTTAGAACGCATATACATACTTAACCAAACCTTAAATACAAGTAATTCAATTCTTGTGCCTGTATCTGTTGGAAAAATAACCTTGCCCAAATACTGCCATGAGGATGAACTTCTATACTCATAAAAGCCTCCCCTGTGTTTAATGCTTTGTGTACAATTTCAGCTTTATCCACAGTTCGCAAAGCTTTACAGCTATCTCATTGTTTGAATGTCTTGAAAATCTTATTTCAAAATACTCAACTCCAATTCTTCATTTTGGAAGCCTCTAAGTATAAGTTACATGGGGGAAAAATCATGTTGCAGACCAGCTTCCTCTCTTCACTAATCATTACACAGATCAAACACACATTCCTTCCTTTGGCAAGTAAACCACAACTAGAGCAGTTTTGCACACAATTATTTAGGATAATGTTTACTTCTGTAAGCATTGTTAAGATTTGAGAAGAAATAAGAGTGGATTGTCTTCTGTTGCCCACTAGCAGGTTTTCTTTGGTTATCAGCAGCTGACAACCATTCATTTAAAGCAGTAACAGAGCAACAGACCTGAAGAAATATCTTCACATTTTAATTCCTCTGATTCACCAGGTGATTTTCCATGCAAAATCAAAGTGTCTCGATACTTTCTATGAAGTTTAAACTCTGGGGCTGGAGTTGAGGTTGCACAGTTTACAGAATTGTCCTTTGAGTCCATTTTCAGTGTCCACGTCATTAGCTGCACTAAGTCATTCATCTCGTTCATGTTGCTTTTTCTGGTAGAGGAGAAGTAAGATGTGATTCAGTCACTAATAATGATGCAACTTCCATCTTCCACTCAGAGGACTTTCAAAAAGTTTAGTGAAGCCCTGATAAGTAATTCATGTTAAGTTACTACTTTGATGCAGTTTTATCAACAGCAACATTACCAGTATTTCATCTAACAAAGGCTCAGAGCCCATTCACCCAGCAAAAATTCACAATTACATGTCCCGGAAAGTTCAAGCAAGTTTATAGTCACAGAGAGACAATTAAATGGAATTCATTTTCTCTACGCATCACATACTTCTTCAATCACTCACTATGTAGAGATTAAATGCAAAAGCAATTCCTGCCATTTTTTTCCATTCCACGTCAAGGTCCAATAGAGCAGTGAAAATTCTTGCACAATATTAAACAAAACACTTACCTCTCCTTGGAATCACCATCAGACTTATCTGTAGAGCTTGTGGAAGAGCTTAACTCATCATCAGATGGGCAATGGGTTTCTCTCTTTCTCTAAGTGAAGACAAAAATTCAAATAGTTGAAAGCAATTTATCAAGTTACTGTTCTTACATGCAAGAAACATTTTCAACAAGCCTATTTTTACAGACTCAGCTTGATAATATTTGAAAGGTTTTAAAAACAAGCTAATACCCAGGACATCATTGATATTTTTTATGAAATGCTTATGTGACTAGCATTACATCGAAGTCATGCAGTTTTAACCACTATAAATGCTTCACCAAGTTCCTCTATTAAAAACAAATCTTGTATCTGTGTCAGTTCTTTGCCAACTGTATTATAAAGTCCATCTATTGGTCTTTAATACACATTTTCAAAGAATATTTAAATAATATTTTATCAGTAAGTTCCCAGCATTCCCTGAAATACACAGATTTTAACCACCTGTGTGTCTACAGTCTTCTGTTCAGTGCATAGCATGATATGCAAAACCATCGCTAGCATGTGTACATACAATAAACCTCATTTAATCTCAGTTTGTGAATACAGATGAAGTTTGTATATTTAGATACCAGCTATAAGCATACACACAATTAGGTAAAACATGCAAAACGCTTTCCATGCAAGTGCTAGGCTTTGAGTTTCAGACTGAAATTTCTTCACTGTGACTCTTCTGCATTTACTGGGATCAGTAATGTTCCCTTGATGTTGCAGAAGATTGTCAAATGTATATTTAAGACCTCAGAAAAGACGTTCTGATTAGACAAGGAAGAAAAGGTTAATAGAAACTATACACTTTTCATCTAGCAACTATCCCTTATTGCCAGCACAAATGTATGCGTTTAAAATGACTACAGATTAAGGACACCACTATCAAAGCACAATTAGATGTATCAGGCTAAAGGTAGTGTGCTGTTATTAGAAATTCAAAGCAGAATATTGATCTGTAACTGAAGCATATTTCAGGATAAACTTTTTCCCTTTCAAAATAAACACTGCAATTTAGAGACCCCATAACAATCAGTAAGAGATCTCTAGTTTTCATCTCTGACAAGTGGACTGAAAATGCACAATGAGCCTGGAATGCTAAACTGGTCTAGCCCAAACAAAAATGTAGATCAGAGACCCATACTCTACCCCAGGACTTACAAAACAGTATTCACAGAGAACTGTTATTAACTCAGAGTTCCTTCCACATATATATATACACACATATATACATACACACATATATACATACGTATATATATATGTATATATTTTAATATCACTTTCTTCTTTAATATCGCTTCTAATATCACCTTCTTCCCAGATTGTGTCTGCATTTAAATATTTTAAAAGTAGATGACACCAGTTTACCTGAGAAATACTGGGATCTGATGAAGACTGAGTAACATGATTTTCCATATGTGATTTTGCTTCAACTACTGCACTATTTGACGTTGCTCTTGCTGGAATCACTGGAAGGACAACATTTTCACAATATTTACAACTTAACTGCATGTATTTTGAATTAGTCTCTTGCTCATTCAAGAAAAAGTCTATCACCTGGCAGAAGACAGGCAGGTAGGTATTCTGTAGCTACTACAGTACACTGAAAGGTGCATATTCTGCACTTCATGTACATTTCAAAGACAAGTTGCCATCACCAAACACAGCCAAACATAACTGACTAAGCAGCAGAAAAATACAGACGTGTTAACAGAAATTTTTATTTTACTCTTAGTGCATCTTTCTGAAGAGGGTAATGAAGAACAGACAAGTTATAATTTTTCCACAAAGAAGTTATTAGCCTACTTATAGATAAAATGTTCACATGCAAATCTAAGTTACCAGAGGGAAACATCTCCCGAGACTGTCTGAGCCTCCTTCGTTCTCTTGCTGACAAGGGCCGCTCCTTCAAAAGAAGTTAATTTGGTATTAATTAGCAAACATAATAATGGCTTTTGTTATCTAATCATCTATAAAGCAAAAAATCCATTTCAACTGGCATGGAAGATAGGGCTATTAGAGTAGACCTTCTGATCATCTAACAGATGTTAATTACTTATTACAAAGCAGTCTTGGTCAATGAGACTAACATCCACTCTGGAAAAGGAGCTTCTGACTTCTATGGCTCAGCAAGTCAGCTTCTCATCCTGCGCTGAGCAGGTGCTTGACAGGACTTCCATTAGGTAGGAAGCTACTACACATTTATTTATTCACTGTGCATGCACTCAGAGAACAAACTGCTCAGAAGAAATGAGAGACAAAAGTAAGCTAATGTGGTATTCAGCACTAACCTTTGAAATGACACCTTGACTGGTTTTGGCACCATTTAGAGATTCAGAAGCTTCAGCACCATGCTGCTCTGCACACCTCTGTGTTGTCTTTGTGTTCACATCAGAAGGAAAAGGCAAAGGCTGGGGAGCAGCTGTTCTGAACTTGAAAAAGAAGTGAGCAAGAGTTTGTACATTTTTTATTAAAAGTACTCTACAATCTAGAAGACATTCTGACATGGTAAGGCTGGATGCCAGAGGTTTTGGATTCTTCTGTAACCTCTTCAGCAGCTTCAGCCATTACATGTTTGTTCCAAAGTCCTAGTAATTTACTACCTACTACAAGTAGCCTTATCAGCAACAGTCAGGAAAGGTATTGCTGTATATTTTGTAGTCACAGTGAGAAGACCTGATGGAAATTGCTAGGAAAGACTGCAGCACAGCACAGTGTTCACTGTGTGTCCTTGCACCCATCTGGCACACCCACCTCACACCTGTGAGCGCTATTGAGATGTTCAAGGATTTACGGAAGCTGCCTCCAAAGGACATCTTGAACGTTCTGCATTTTGTTACCAATGAAGTTATAGAGATACACGTGGAACAGGAATAGCATTAAAAAAACACCTTTTTTAAACACATAGGTCCCTTTTTTAAAGATACAAAGGAGTCTTAAAGGAAAAAGGAGAATTATTTTTTGAGTACCTGCACCTTCTCTGAAGAGACTTCAGCAAGCTCTCTTTGCTTCTGCCGTCGCTGCCGTGAGAGAGAGGGTTCACTGACAGAACTATGAGGCTGCAAGTGGAAGGTAACTTTTTCCTGAGCATCTCCAGAAGCTCCATGACAGGCATCATCCTAATAAGTAGAACTGTTTTAATAAAATGTAGACATGCCATTTCCAGAGATATACATACACACTTTAAAAGAAAAAAAATTAACACAGGCCATTTTACTACCTGGACTGTCACAGTTACAACCACAATAACCTCTTACTTGAGAGACAGTTAAAAGAAATACCTATGGTAGCAGCATTTTTAAGCTACTAAACCTTTAAAGAAGGACACTTACTTGAATTAAAACAGGGACAAGTGGTGCCAGCAGCTTTTCAGTAGAATCCAAGCTCTGCAATAGATAACAATTTCTCATCAGAAAAGTGCGCACAAAAATATCATTGTAGACCAAAATGCAATGAAATGACAATCACCACCTATTAGCCCCCCCATCCAAATCAGGACCAACAAGATCAGCCAGGCCTATTTAGAACAGAGAAGTTATAAAACTATTCTTACCAACTCTCTTCTCAGCTGAAAAAGAAAACTGTTGTTCACTGTAAAGACAGAATTCCTATCATCTAGATGCAAGACTAAAACTACTTCACCCTGCTGCCTTTGCAAATCTGAAGCCAAGGTTCCGAACTACTTCAGCATCTTCTTAATTGCATCAGCAGCATCCTACTTTGACAATAAACATATTCAGCAGCTCTCTGAATTTTAAGAACTGGCCACTAGCTAAATCTATTTTATAAAGTCTATTTCAACTAAGCACAAATGCATTACCAGATCAGTTTGCGTTTGGTCCCGTGACACAGGCTGCAGGAGTTTCAACGTGCCACCATCTTCTCCTGTAGCATGAACAGAAGACTGCTTAGACTCAACATCTTCAGCTTTGAAGACTTGCTTTGCTCTTTGCTGTAGCCCATCTTCCTTCATTGGTGGGCTACTGGATGTTGTTCTAGAATTCCCTGGAACATTTAAATTTCTCTTTGCTTTATTATTCTCTGGAACATGCTCACTGCCACATTTCTCACTTCCATACTTCACCCTTGCTGGTGGTAAGATACCAATATTCACATCACTAACTGTAGCTAAGGAGTCTCCCAGGTTGTTCAAATCATTACTGCTTGGTTTGCTTTCCAACTCAACAGCTCGTTTTTCTGACGAACAAATTTTGATGGCTTTAGATTTGATAATGTAGTCTTCTTCATTCTAGAATTAAAAGGAAAACAAAAGTTAATTACCTTTCGGGTATTACACACATATGAAAGAATACTCTAAGTACCTAAGGAAAATCATTAACATACCAAGGTACATAAACTGCAAGGAAATTCCAATCAATTACAGATTAAGAGCCTCAAAAAAGCCACAACCCACATTTTTTTAAGAGATACAGACTGTATGTGCAAATGACCTCTTTCAGGCATTGGTTTATACACATGCAGTACACCTACTTTTCATCAGGACCACAAAAGAACCGTTGTACTCCCTTGGCTCTTCCATATGGGAGGAGCCAGCAAGTACCAACAGTTTCTAAGATGTACTACACCATATACATTCAGTATTTCAGCACTGAAAGCTTAAACCTAGAATAACAGACTCATTACAGAAAACAAGAAACATGCACAAGATTAACCATTACAAAAGATCTGTTCTAACCGCTGGAAAGAGTTCCAAAAATAAACAATTTTTGGTTGTAACTATAATTAGTTTTTTCCAGTCAAAGCCATATATTTAAAAATGATTACCACTTGTCATCAAATACTTGAAAAAATATTTGATCTCCAACAGTGCCCCTCAAATGAAAAAATGGGTGTTTTTTAGCGTTAAGATATTGCAATTAGTTTTACTGATCCACAGCTGTTTTTACTTCTACTCTTGCCTAAACACAATTCCTTTCTTCATACACATTTTACACATTGCTAAGAATCAGATCTATGTTCTCACAAATGCTTAAGGTAATTCTTATAAAACTGTGCTTTTTCATTAGAATAAGCAAATAGGGTTTGTTTTTTCTTAAAGAAAAAGTATGTAACTCACAACTTCGTATTTCCTAGCTTGCTCAAAGGAGTGATTTTGGTGTTTTTTTGCTATGAGATTCATTCTTTACTGAGACCACAGAACAAGGATCTTTAGGTTTACAATTCACTGTTCTCTTTTGACTTCTGGCTGCTCTCCTGTAAAGAAAACAAGAGTTCATTCAATCACCATTAACGAGACCTTAAGATATTTCTTATACTGATTTAAAAAACCCCACCACACTAAACAGCTTATATACAGGGAGTATAAGATATTGGGCTTTTTCAACAGACTGTGCACAACGTACTGGTTTTCATCTCTATAAAAGGAGCTTAAAAACACCATTCAGACTCTGCCAGCAACATACACTTATTCAACATAGCACCAAGATCAGTCCTATCTGGGGACAGTAAAATAATTGACTAAACCTGACAAAAATAGTTGTATCAGTGAATATAACAAGGAGCTTACTATTACAACTCTAAGCTGATAAATGGCCTCAAAGAACAATATGGAAAGGTGTGTATTCCGTATCACTTCCTTCTTTTTCTATTAACCCATGAGTAAGCTGTGCAATCCTAACCATTGCATTTACACACAAAAATAGTTTCCATTCTAATTCCCTCCTATTTCTCAAAGAATCTAAAGAAACTCATGTGTTCATATGCTTTGTAACTGCACTTGACATAACTTATACATCTACAAAAAAATAAGAAAAGTTCTAAAACAAAGACCACAGTAACACAAATATTTTGCACAGAGCACTCAAATGAAAGTATCTTACGATTTTGTGGCTTCCAAAAACAAAGAAATTTGGTGCTTGATATATGGCTGTCGTAATATGCTTTTCACACTAGGCCTTTCCTCAGGTCTTTTACTGAGCATAGTTCTTATTATTTCTACCAACTGTGGGCTGTAATCCTTTGGCATGGGTGGCAACTGTAAAAAGAAAGGGAAGTCTGATATTACTTAACATATTTGTCAATAGGGGCTACTGCTAGATTATTTATGCATGACAGCTATATTCAGTTACATCCTTTCCATAAAGAACTGTCTAATTGTTCATATGCTTGAAGTTACCCAAGTGCCCAACATTAAACAGAATATAGAAATCCTAAGTGTTTTGTCTAAGAACTGTTTGTAACTTTATTAGTATCAGCAGTGAAAGTTCTGTGAATAGCCTTAAAAATTCAAATAATTCCATATTAACTTCATCATATACCAAAGCAGGACGGATACTTAAGTAAGCTAGTTTTACCTAACAGGAAAATGGCACCACATGAAGAGGGATTTCATATTTTGCACTATGCTTAACCCAGAAGCAAATTAAGAAAGTCATCTCAGAACTCTGAAAATTAATCAGTATACTACTTACACAACAGGGTAACAAAAAAACTTTAGCAATATCTACAAAGTAATAACTGCTTGGGTCTCACATTATATCATACCCCACCACGAAATACCAGTCTTACAACATATGTGATGATGCATGTAACATGTATTTTTAACTCCATGCGGTATTTCTGATTGGAAAAGATAATCCCAGTTCTAGACAGAAAATTCCAGCAGAGATAAAAAACAGTGTAGAAGCTTTTACCTTTCCTTCAATAATTCGATACACCAAAGAGTTCATGTCTTTAGCATTAAAGGCATGTTTCAGCGTAGCCATTTCATAAACGCAGCAGCCTAATGCCCAAACATCAGACTGAAAGAAAAGAGAGAAAAAAAAGTTTGGGGAACTTTTTATTGTTCGTAGAAGTTAGTCACCTGCATTGGAAGAGGCCTTTAGTGACTGTCAGTTCATTATGACCAAACTCCATTGCAAACTTGAGGCTTCAGTCTCAATCTACTTTTCATTTTGATCAACTGAATTATTTTCTTCTGAATACCACCAGATTTTTCTGAAAAGTATAGCAAGTTTCTGTTTGTAGGGCTTTTCCTTTGCTTTCTTTTTAAGTACAATAATGGTTTTAACTGGCAAATAAAAATCTTGTGATTTTTCATTAGAAGAACAATTTCCCCTCAGCTCTTGCTCATTATAGACAAGAAATTTAAGACAGTAAGATTGTAATGTGCTCAGACAGACAAAATAAATTGCCTAACAAACAACATTTGCATTAACATACTCTACCTTGTAGTTGTAGGGTTTGTTAGAAAAGAGTTCAGGGCTCATGTAGTACGGTGTGCCTATGAGAGTGCTGGCCATGTCATACTGGTTTTCCAACACTCTGGCTATTCCCAGGTCACCCACTTTGATTATATTTGTTCGTGTCAGAAAAACATTTTGAGTTTTAAGATCTCTGTGCAGAATGTGCTTTTCATGTAAATACTGGGGGGAAAAAACATGTAAATAGAGTTAAGCAACTTCTAATCGGTCCTTTACACTGAAAAGTAAAACCACATTACACAAGTCAAAGAGGAAAAACACAAATGTAGAAAAGAAACACATATCACTACCAAAGTCAGGAGTGCCCCTGCTGAAGACAACATTAGTAAATTAACATTAAGAGTGACTGATATAGGCATGAACCCAAAATTTGGCATCGCTTTAGTGAAATCTCTCTGTGTGGCTCTAACGAGCCAGCAGAAAAGTAGAAGTAAAAACGTAAAGTTAAGACTCAGACTTTAACTTTATGCTGCCTTCATTACTTGACTATCATTTCTTAGTCTTAAGTATAAAATTTAAGTGGACAATACATAAGCTTTGTGTAAATGGAAGAAAATTAGTCTTACAATGAACAAGAACAGGCAGTACTGAACATTTGCTATGTCTGATCACAACAGGCAACTTTCAAATAGAATTTTCTGACCAATTTCTTATTTCTCATCTGGTCTTTATTACTTTAACAATTGTTTCTGAAGTTTGATAGCCTTCAGTTATTAAATTTCAAGAGAGTGACATAAGATTTAACAGAAATTACAAATTAGTAGTCTAAACTTACCATTTAAAAAACACCAGCAAAATGTCAGAGCACAAAATGCTCCTGAAAGAGTCTGGTTTTTTTAAGAAATGACATTTCGTAAATTTAGTCTGAACTTTCAAACCAGAGAAGCGTTTCAGACTAGAATTGCAAACACCCAGGAGATCACCACTATCTATTGTGATAAAGAGATGTAGACATGAAATATGATAGCAATTTGTTACCTAAAATAGTTAATCTGATTGCAGTGACCTGGGTACATTTATAGTATACTAATAACCACGGTATGTAGATGCTAATCCAGTCAAACTGGAATTCAAAGTCTGCAGCCTAACTGTGGAATTTTTAAATGCACAAAGAGCCAAATGAAATTTCTGTCTGAAAGTGACAAAGTTACACTTCATTTTACCTGCAGTGCCATGGCAATCTGGACAAACCACTCCACCACCTGATTCTCAGGCAAAAGTTTGCCCTTCTGATCTTTAAGCTTGTGATACAGATCTCCTCCCTCGCAGAAGCCCATAACAATATATAACAGGCCATCTTCTCCCTGCCAGGACTCTCTGTAGGTGACTATGTTTGGGTGTTTCAACTGGGATAACAGCTGTGCCTCTTGTTCTGCTGCTTTCCTCTCTCGGCTGGAAGCATTTTTAAGGTTTAACCTTTTGATGACATACTGTAAAAGAAATTGCAAGGTATATCATAAGAAAGGAAAGTAACTATGCAGAAGCCCTAGGGAATACCCCAGATCTAAAGGAAGTACAGTATTTGAAATCTCTACACATTATTCTATATGGAGGCTGCAATTTGTCTAGCGGTTACACATTATTTCACCACTATGCCATAAAAATGGAACAGCTTTGGCTATTCTATTCATCTACCTCAATATATCTCTGCACAGACATTTCACAGTGTTTAGCTTTGTTTTGACTCATGTTCACATTTACCTTTTTTTTTTCCTTACTCTCATTTTAAATGTGTGTTTATTGTTCATCTCTTACACCTGAAATACATGTTTGTCCATCACAGTTACTTTCAAAACAGGTCATTTCAGTAACAATTTTTAAAACAGAATAAAGTTAAGCGAAGTATGCAGTCATGTGCAAAAAATTACAATGGATGTCTAGGATAAAAGCCATCTGGCCAGGATTATTTTGCTCTTCCCTGCTAGAAAATCAAACCCAACTCCTTTATTTTAAGGAAAAGTGGACTTTTGCTTTCACTTGTTCAGAAAGGAAGCATACATTTGTAAAAAAAGAGATACTCAAAAAATAACATCTCACAACTTCAGCAAACATAGTTCATATATCTGAAGACCAAAAAATGTTGTTAAAATCCCACTGCCATATTCACAAGAAACACCTGGTAAAGCTGAATTTCCGAATGCACAAAATAATGCTGCTGAGCTTTTCAGGTCTGGTCATTCTTTCCTTAAAAAACCTCTACCTGACAAAAGACAGAACTGACTTGGGATTAACTGCTTTGTATGAAAAATCTACAAAATGGCGAAGTATGGGAGAATAGGAAAAAGGTTTCTATCAGGAAAAGAAACATGGCAAGTAGAGATGCAGCTGGAGGGCTGGTACAGTCAGGGGCACACTGAAAAAACACTTTCTCAAAAACCTGAAAGCAGACATCATTTACTTATTTAACAACTTCCCTTAAAACTGTCTGTTGCATTTATGAGTTTCTGTATATGCGGGCTTAAACTTATTCAAGAAGCAATGAACTATTACAGGGAAGTAGAGACTTTTGGTCCTACTGAAAGACAAAAGGTCTTACACTCATCCCTAAATTTCTTTTATTCTGGATTAAGATGGGTTAAGATTTTTTATTTTTTTTTAAGATACACATGAAAGCTGTTATTTACTTCCCTCGTATGTGCTACATCACATGTGTTTCTTAGGAATTTCAGGATTTAGCAAAAATATAATCGAAGCTGAAGATGTGACAATAAAATCCGTAACACAGATTCATCACACACAGCACCAATATTTAGTTCTGACCTGGTCCCTTCCTGACATTAATTTTGTGGTAATCACTTTTAGGGTATCAGCTTTCCACACAACAATCATGCCATGGTAATACACTTGACCCCACTCCTACCTGAGAGCTTTTAAATTGAAACATCTAAATCAATTTTTGCTTACTCAGTTTCAGTGTCCTTCCAATTGCTTATGGTGTCTACTTGCCAGGCTGGTCCTATTAATTTAGTCCAGCACATTTAATTAGTGGTGGGGAAGACTGTTCCAAGGCAACCAATTATGCAGAAATCAACAGTACCTTGTGATTTTGTGCACCTAGTATCCAGCAGACCTCTGAAAAACTCCTCAATTCTTACAGTCTGTGACAATACAAAGCTCCCAAGAGGAATATAACAAAACTGTGTACAGCATCGTCTAAGTTTAAAATAAAATAGAAATGCTGTAACTACTATGTTCTATGTGACAAGCCAACTCCAAATGTATCCTTGGGCATGGCAACCAGAAGCTTTTAGCTTTATATCAGCATCTCTCTTTACAAGATATACTATCAGAATGCAAAAAGTATACATTTAGCCTAACTTTAAACCTAGCACTGGTTATATTTAATTAAACGAGCATGTTATCCTGGCAAGATTCCCATGGAGTCTATTGCAATGGTATTCTGCCTTATTTCATACCAAGTTGTGTACAAATTGAACTCATTTTTTGTTTTAAACATTTGGAGCCACTTGACCTTCTTCACGAAAAACCCCAGCACTCAGCCAACAGCAAATATGCTTAAATAAAACCTGATTTCTTTCACAGAACATGCAGCACTATGCCAAAGCCACAACAAAAAATCCTGATCATCCCGCTACAGAAGAAAGTTTATGAAAGTTGGCAAAACACACAGTAAAACACATCAGATATTTAAGGTAAAGTAATGATAAGGAAGCAAAGCTCTTGCCAATGTTAATGACCAGCAGCATGACAAAGAGGTGAAATCCAAGGACCTGTATAGGGTTGAAAGTCACCTCAATGCACTGTTTACTTTTAGGACGATAAGGTTAGCAACTCTTTGCTGACATTGGACTATGCACCGTGGTGACAGGCCCAGGGGGAACAAGAGGGAACATCACTGCTACCCAACTCAAATCCAGAGCAATTCCAGTTTCTTCCCTGCCTTCATCCGGAAGGGACACACCCTCTGATCACTGCTGGGCAAGCTCTTCCCATCATCTCTAGTCAAACCCTGGGTGCAAGGCTCTCACCCAAGGTTCCTGTGGTACCGCTCTTTAGACATTCGCTATCCCCCTTTGTTTCTCCTCCTGCATTTCCTATCAAACACATCTGCTTCGGCCAGGCAAGGCAGATCATTTCAAATTTCCAACAAAAAGGCAAAGACAAAAATGCCCACACTTCAACTCTGCCATAACCGGAACTCTGCCAGGTTCTGCCACAGTAGATACAGCGAACACAAAGCCCATCTCCCTCCAGCAGAGTCGATGCCAGCAAAAGCCAACACCAGAGGCTGGTTTTTCCACCCTTGCTATCACTTCTGTCTTCACCGCGTGCAGCAACAAGCCAAGAACAACCTTTTCCGCTTCATGCTAGAAAGAGCAGGCTGTATCTTCTGCCACCTCAAACACTACCAAACCTAGGTTTTCCTGCCCCAAACAAGGTATTATACATTAAAAGCAAGCAAACAAACAAACAAACAAAAAAAAAAAAAACAAACCAAAAAACCCGACCGATGCGCAGTCGTATTTAAACAGGAAGGAAGAAAAAAAGTGAGAATTTTGGGGGTTTAGAGTTTTATTTTTGAGATTAAGGGGAAAGGGGGGAAGAGTCTTCTCCACATCTTTGATAAAAGCCTTCACAGACAACGGAGGAAAACAGTCCCCGCCCCAGCGCCAGGTCCCCGTCACG